ACCAAAAGATAAAATTTAACACCTTCACAGCAATGGATTATGGGTAAATAGAAAGGCCCAGAGAAAATCCAATTGATTCCCTAATCCCCTTATTGAAATGTATGTACTATGAAAGCTTTTTCAAGTCACATATCTGCCCTACCACTAGCCATATTTTTCCTGATAAATTAACCACTAGACCAACAAATTCATTCCAACTAAACACATGAGAAGTTCTAATAAGGCTAAAACTTTATTCCACCGGCTAAAGCCAAACACTTTACCTGTAGATAACATGCTTTTAGATGAACTGACAAAAAAACTGATTCCATAAAATTGACAGAATTAGCGATTGGGAAACAGGAATGATCATTAATTGATAGGTTCAAATCGAGCATATGGTTATTATCACAGCTATTATTTGATGTTTAAAAATACGCTTTGATGAGAATACTGGGGTTAAGCTTATTTACAAAGCATTTTTTTTTTTTTAAAGATTTTATTTACTTGACAGAGATCACAAGTAGGCAGGCAGAGAGAGAGGAGGGGAAGCAGGCTCCCCACTGAGCAGAGAGCCCAATTCGGGATTCAATCCCAGGACACTGGGATCATGACCTGAGCCTGAGCCGAAGGCAGAGGCTTTAACCCACTGAGCCACCCAGGCACCCCTTACAAAGCATTTTTAACAGTTCATCTCATTGAGAGCTTTCTCAATTTTTCACATTGTATGGTCCTATGCACAAATAAATGTTAGATATTGAAAGTCCTACACGCAAATAAATGTTAGATATTGAAAGTGTCAATCTCCTAAAAGCTTTTGGTGAGGGTCAAGCTAAATAACCATACAAAGCTTTGCAGCAACAGCAACCAGAGCAAAAGCAGGGGCTAGGCTCTGGTGCTAAGAACTTAACAAGTGTTATTTCTACAGTCCTCACCACACCCTGTGGGGTATTACTGCTCTTAATATATAGCTGAGGAATCGGAGAGTGAGTGACTTAACAAAGGTAACCCAGTTAGCAAGTAGCTGATATTCACCCCCAGGCAGCCTGACTCCAGAATTCATGCTATTAATCGCTACCTAACTTATGATAATAAAGTCAGAGACCCACATGAAACAGAAATAGAACTAAACTTATAAACTTATCACTTATAAATATTATGACCAAGTAGATATAGTTAAATGTTTCTCCCCATGCACAACTCCTATTAACTAACGCTGAAACAGTACAGTTACAGATGCTATTGGAAAAACTTCTGAAGGTGCTTTTCCTACATTTAGTCATAAGCATCAAGAAAGAGATCATAATCTCTCACTGAAACTTAAAACTTCATACTAAGTTCATACAGGTTCTCATTATCAATTAGTCTTAAATATCAATTTCAGGGAAAATAGTATTTTTAGATGCAACCAAAGACTTAAAGGGTAAACCCAGGATATCCCCCAAATATGTGTTCTGGCATAAATTCCTTGATGTTGGTAGGATCTCTTATGAGTAGTACTTCAACGTACCTTGCGCCTTTTCATTCCACATCAAAAAGTCACAAAACTATCCTGTCTGCCCCATTTCCACAGGTCTGTTACCAATACTGTAAGAACAAGTGTCAGCTAATAATATCACAGGTTAAAAGTACCACAGGGAAGGAAAACAAGCTCAGCATTTTCTCTGAGAGACAGGTCACACTGTTCAGCTCACAAACCTAAACTTTACCTAATGTAATTCTCACAAGAGCCCTTCAGGTAAGTGCTGGTACATCAGGAAGCAGACCCAGAGAGGCTTAGCAACTTGACTACAAGGTCACACATTAAATGACACAACAGTGATTTCAACTATATATATGGTATACCCCCCACTGCCTTACAGGATAGCAAAGTAATGCCCTTTTCTGAACAACAATAAAGAAAAACACTTTTTAAGTTAAAAGTATTTTAATGTTAAAAAAAAAAAAAAATCCTCCCACTTGTTGCTGTCACAGTCTCACTGCCCAGCAGAACACCTTTTCTCCTTCCTGATTTTCTCTGGCTCACTCTTAGTATCTGCTGGCCTCATTGTGCCCTGGCAAAGGGGCCAGCTGTTAGAACAAAACAGCAATGATGTATCCTTAACAAACCACATTTTATAAGGCCACAGGAACCATGCAAATATTTTTGCCCTAGGTGTAAGTTAATTCTGCCAAATAGTTATGTGTCAGTTACAAGAAATGTGAGCCTGCCCAAACATTTAGGAAATAAAAACAGTGAACAAACTATGAACATACTATCATTTTACTCACAGCTTTCTAAAGTCTTTAACCAATCCAAACAAGATACAAGAACAACAAAATACATAAAGGTAATCTCATTACCATCGTAGAGTCTGGCCTCCCACCACATTATTGTGAAACATAAGGGATACAGAGCATTAGCCTCAAAATCCTAAGAGCCTCTCCCCTGGTGTTAACCGCTAAAGGACAATGACAGATAAGAGAATATGTAAACCTGACACTTTAAATAGTTTTAAATTGGGGAAGATTATTGAAGGACTTCCCAGAACAATATTTAATTAGCTTTAACAAGTTAAGGTGTATTTATGACTCCCAGAGGGGGCTTCCTTATCTGAAGCAAACAGGAGGAAATTTCTGTTAGCCTAAGTTGTACTGATAATGGAAGGTGAATAGCTAAAAAGGCTTTTAACCAAAAGTTTTTGTTCAGGAAATAAGAAAGAAAAGCTAAGTGTATCGGAGCTGGGGGGGGGGGCGGTGTGGGCCCCTCAGGGTCCTGTTCCAGGGACCAGGAACAAGCACAGGAGTAGATAAAAAGGAAACAGGAAGGACTGAGCTAGAGGAAGTGTGGAGGGGAAGGAGGAGGAGTAAGGAAGGAGCGAAGAAGACTGAAACCCAGAAAGTAATGATGGAGATGGGCAACTCAGGCCTAGAAAAATAAGGAAATAAATGCCTGAAACCAGGAGGTTTGCCAGAGCCTGCCCTGTGGAAAGGACTCTCCTCTTCTACAGGACTACAATTAAGATAAATTACCTGGGCAAGACTAGAGAAAAAGGGGTTCATTTGAGACACGGGAAGGTCCTGAGCAAGGGTTAACTTATTGAGAAGAGACAACATTTTCAGTGTTTCTTCAAAAGTGTTAAGTTAAACTGGGTGAGTTGTAAGGCATGTAAATTATATCTTAATAAATCTGTTATTTTTAAAAAGTGTTAAGTCGGGAAACGTATGACTGTACCGTAATTAGTTCAGCCTGTAAGAGTACCCCTCAAATTCCCTCACCAAGTAGGAAGAATTTCCTTGTGTCTGGGGACATCTCTGTTGGAAAACATCAATCTGTTAAGGAGACTAGAGTATAATAAATACAGAAGGGGGAAAAAAAAAAACCGGTGAGCTCTCTAAAGAGATCTTCCCCATTTCTGCCCTCGGAATTTTTGGCAGTGTTGGGGAAGGAAGCTTTTGTTTGGGGTATGCCTTGAAGTAGAATATCAGGTTTCTTCAGCGGATGATCTAGGGCCAAAATCTACCTAGTCAAAGAGAAAACGATCTAGGGTGGAAAAGTCAAGTGAGTTCTGGAGAAACCCCAGAAGGTTTATCGTGAAAAGATCACACAAGTCTTATCTCTGCTACCCCTAAATTGGACTGTACGCCCGTGCCACTTCCGACTGTTACTCGCGATGAAGACGGATGCTTTGCCATGATCGCAGAAGTTTCTGGCCAGCTGCCCACTGACGTAAATTAGAAAACCATTCGGGGACTGGCCTGGGTGAAGCGAAGCGCCACGTCCAGCGCTGGGCTCCCGCTTCCTCCCTCTCAACGCAGGAAAAGGGAGAGAGCCGGGTAGAAGGCGAGCCGTCTTCGCCCTCCTCCCCCCTTCAACCGCTTTCGGGGAGTCGCCCGGCGGACCCCATCCCCACTCGCCCACCTGGCGCCCGAGACCCCCCGGGAGGAGGGCGGCGGCGGCGAGCGCCCCCGCGGGCAGCAGGCGCACCTCCCCTGGGGCAGCTGTCGCCGCGGCCCGCCCGGCCCGGGCCTCCCCGGGAGCAATAGGCTATCGATTCAGCTGCCTGTCGCTAGGAGCCCCGGGAGAGCGAGGCCTACACCGTCGGGCCGGAGCCCCGGCCTCGATTTCGCCACTTTCCCCACACCAGAGGGGGAGCCTGGGGGCAGCCGAGCCCAGCTGGGCGGGAGGGGGGAGGCGCGGAGACCACCTGCAACGGCAGCGGCCGGCAAAGGGGGTACGGGCGGGGGGCTGCAGCCAACAAGTCTCTGGGGGTCGCCCACCCACCACCCCCCGACTCACAAGTTACGCGTTCAAGTTCTGGCCGGTGCCCCGTGGCCTCCAGAGCCCCCAGCACTGCCCACACCGTAAGAAAAACACAACGCGGAAGAGGCCACTACAGCAAAGGGGAGATGGAGCCGGGCCCCTCAGGCCGCCGACGGGGGGGCGGCCAACAGCTACCCGCCCGGCTCCTCTCCTCGCTCACCCAGCCAGCCCCCCGAGTCGCGGCCCCCGACCCCCCGGCGGCCAGCCCTGTCACCGCCCGGCCCCCAGCCCCAAGGCCCCTTCTCCCGGACGCCGGCGCCAGGGACTCGAGCTCCCCCTGGCCTCCGGCGCGCCTCGGCCTCCTCCCCCTCCGAATCCCCAAAATGCCCCCCGCACCTTTTAAAGTACACGGAGCAAGAGTTTCCCATCAAACTTTGTCAGGCGGTAATCTCGCCCCCACCCCCCTCATCCCCGACCCACACTTCCAGGGCAGTCATCAGGAGAGATCACTTTGCACTTGGGATAAATCGAATTAAGGACCTGTCAACCATTTTAGGTCTTTTTTTTTTTTTTTTTTTTTTTTAAACAGAAGACATCCTCTCCTTCCCCTCCCTCCCCTGCAAGGGTTTGAATTTGACACCAAACCTTCCCACCGCAGAAGAGGGGTTGAGGAGGGAGGGGGTGGGGGCGGAGGGGAGAAGGAGGGTGGTGAGGGAGAGCGAAAGGGGAGGTTGAAAGGGGGCCGGGAGGCGCGGGGCGGGGAAGGGAGTTGATTTACCTGAGACCAGCCACTGGCCTCCATTGTTGGAGAATTCAATGGCATTGACACAGCCGAAGTGGCCGAGGAGGTCCTTCTTGTAGAGGTTTCTGCAGCCTCGCAGGCGTCTCCTCTGAAAGTCCTGAGTGAGCAGGGGGTCCCCATGCAAGCCCCGCTGGGACAAGAAGCCCACCACTGACCTCATGCTGCCCCCCAGGCCAGCTCTCCTCTTCATGCTGGAACCGCCGCCGCCGCCGCTCGCGCCGCCGCCCCTCCCTCGGCCTCACGCGCGGCCGCCGCTCTCCCCCCACCCAACCCTCCCCCCGCGCAGCGATCCGGATGGTTCTTTAACCAGCCATGGCAGACGGAGCGAGGTGTGCAGACACTCGGTGGCGTTCGCGGCTTCCTGAGGGTCCCCTCCCTCCCTTCCCCCCCCCCAGGCTCCTCCCTCTCCTCCGCCTCCTCCAGCAGCTGATCTTCAGCTGCGGCCGCGCTTCCGCGACGCGCGGCCCTTCCGCCGGCCGCGGGTGCCGGGGAACGCGGGCGGCAGCTGCCCCTCCCCCGCCGCGGGCTGCTGGCCGGAAGAACGCGGGCGGCTGGCCTGGAGACCGCGGGCGGCGGCGCGGCTTTCCCGCCGCAGCTCCTCCCGGCGCTGCGCCCCCTGAGTGCCGCACTCTGTGAAGTTGAGGGCGCGTAACAATCGGAGCGGTAGCGGGGCTGCGGACTCGCCTTCCTCCCACGGCCGCCGGCCCTCCTTCCCCACCCGCGGGGCCCGGCGTCGGGGCGAGGTCGGCTCCCGGCTCCTCTTTTTTTCGGTGGGGAGAATGCAGCCCGGGGGTGGCGGAGGGGTGGAGGACAGGCTGTGGTCGCCCGCCCGGGGTTCGTCTCATCCTCCCCCACTCCCCCCGAGCCCAGTCCAAGGAAAGGGAACCTGGAGTTAGGGCTGGACACGGGGTAAGGCCGATTGGGGGTTTTGTGAGTGCACCCGTCCCTCCCCTACCAAGTAAATGTTTTAATACTACCCGCATCCCACCCCACCGCCCCCGGTTCAGTTCTCCCTTCCTACAGCCATTCAGTAAAAAGGCTATACTGTCCGTCTAGTACATAGTAAGAGTGGTATATGGGAAGGGGTTGGGGGGCGGGGGTCTTAATAAGGAGGGCGAAAATTGCCCAAGCTGAGTTGAGAAAGCTCCGAGAAACAAAGTACTTTCTGTCCTTTAGTTCTAGGTACATTCATTCCCAAGACACAAGAAGCTTTACCCGAAAACAGCAATATATGTTATTTAATTGGGTGCAGTGAGCTCTTCAAGGTCTTGAGTGTGGAGCCCTGACGCTGTACAGCTGTTAACCAGCAGCTGTGTTCCAGGCCAGAAGTAGCTGCACTACAGTAGACCGGGAGCCTCCCTGTTGACCCCAGCAAGAAGACTGGGTGTTAAGTGCTTTGGAATTCTACCAGACGCAGTAAAAGTCCCCCTGTCCGCGTGTTGTAGTTTTGCTAGAAGCTATCCCCTGTCGTTGAAAGAAACCATTGTCGGCTACTAAAACAGGCAGGTATCCGTTTCGCCTTTTCAATTTAGCAGGAATTGCATCCTCTGTATCAGAGATGGCACAGGGGCGGTTGAGTAGACACCCGTCAAAGGTGGGCTGACCACGGAAGAGGACACCCATTAGGCAAAATCACCTACTCCTACTTTTTGCAATATGGTTAATCATTCCAATAACATATGAAATTAAGTGTTTAAAAGTCAACATAATAGCAAATGTTATTTGATAGCTTAGTCACCAAATTTGAGGAATTATGGTTTTAATGGAGATTATTATCCTAAATAGGAAAATGTCTAGTGCTATCTTTTTAAAAAGTTTTGTTCTCAGGATGCTTCATTGTGTTTATTTGTTATAATAGCCCCATAAAGATCAGTAGTCGTATACCAGCTTGATGAATGATTTTTTAGCACCCAACATCTTTTTTTTTTTTTTAAGATGTTATTTGAGAAAGAGACAGCATGAACGGGAGGGGCAAAGGGAGAGAGAGAATCTCAAGCAGACTCCATGCTGAGCTTAGAGCCCAAAGCCGGGCTGAATGCCAAGGCCCCTGAGATCATGACCTGACCTGAAGCCAAGAGTCCCTCACTTAACTGTGCCACCCAGATGCCCCCCCCCAACATCTTTTCCTCATAGCAATATCATAATGTGTAATTAAACATTTATTTTTGTGATTTTATCAGACTGTCCCCGACTCTGCTGTAAGCTCTCAGAGAGGGACCATGTGTTTCTTATGTCCAGAGTCAGTACATCCTGGCACTCAGGGACCACTTGAATATTTGTTGAATATTTGAATGAACCTAAGGAGTGGGGAAGAATATGGAAGGGAAGGTAATGACTTCTGTTATAGAAGGATTGAGTTTGAGATATCTGTACTTCATTCCAGTGGAGATGATTTCAAGGCCAGTTTCCTATCTCACTATTCCTTTTAACACAGTCAATCCACATATTCAAAAACAGAAGTCATCTGGCACCTTCTAGATCAACAAGACATCATTTATACCTACCTTATTTGCTTGCAAGGGGAGAGATGGACACAGTGATGATGTGGTTGAAGTGGCCTTTACTGTGGCAATATATGACACACTCTCAAGCTCTCCCCTCTTTAAACATATACCTTTTCTCCACAACTTTAAATGTGACTTGCTTTTCCCCAATCCCTGGAATAACTGTCCCATTTACCGCAGCCTAAAAATAGACAAGGATCTGATCACAAGCCAGCCCAATTCTAGGACTTTGCTAGAAACTTCCTTAACTGTTCAGTGACCAACCAGAACAGAAATGTAGGACCACTCAGTCTGTTTATCTCCTACTGCTGGTCTGGGCAGCTTTTTGTAAGGAGAATGCATAAAATCTCTCTCTTCGTTGTCCCATAATTGGGGTTGCCAGATAAAATGCAGGATGCCCACTTCAATATGAATTCCAGAAAAACAGTAATTTTAGCATATATATTTTCTGTACAATATTCAGAATATACTTATATTAAAGTAATTATTCATTGTTTATCTGAAATTCAAATCAAATTGGAGCATCCTATATCTTTTGCTAAATCTGGCAGCCCTACCTATAATATAATCCAGCTTCAAAAGATCAAGCCCCATGATATCTATTTGCTTTTATTACGAATTTAACATGGTCTCTTGTGTCCTTTATTGCAAACTAATATTATACATAACTGTTTAACATTTAATCAACTTCAGTGATCATATGAGGTTGGCCTTTCTGATACAGGCATTTATAGTGAAAAGTCCAGTGTACTTAACTTAAAAATAGGGAATGAAATTGGACTCTTGGATAATCTATCCACTACATAGAATGTACCGGGAAATGGAAAAAGGTGGAAAATTCATATTTTTCTCACCTAGGCCCAGAAACTCCTACATAATGACACCATTTTGAATTTCATTCTGGAAGAACATTGTTTTGAAAACTCATTCTGGAAAAACCAAGATATGGAAATTACTTAACATGGGAACCATTACTCCTTGCTCCACCATCAGAAGAATACTGATCAAACATAGAGTTCCCAGAAATTCATTTGTTCTTTAGCTTCTATTTTGTTTGAGCCAATATCACTGAAGGAAGGGTAAAAAGATCTTTAAAAACTGACTAGATGCTAAGGAAATGCTCTAAAAAAACAAAACAAAACAAAACAAAACAAACAAAAAAACTAAGAAAAGACTAAGCCCCTGCTCACATATTTACTAAATTCTAGCTTATTAAGAGCTACATATGGGCACTAACATTCTCAGAAACGTTTTGCTTAAAAACATTTTCAACTCTAAAATAAAAATAAACTACTCATAGATAAGAGATATTAATCCAGACAAAGATCAATGCCCTAACTATACATATAATTTGGCTGTCTTTTAAATTTTAAAGGATGTTATTTATTGGCCGTTTCAAATAGACAGCAGTCAATTTTAATTTTGAAAAAAAAATCTAAATACAAATTCCTCCAACAAGATCTATAGGATCAGAAGATATAATTTTATAGTTTTAACTCTTACATTTATGTCTATGATCCATTTTGTTACTTTTTTTTTTCCAAATTTATTTATTTTAGAGTGTATATGAGAGAGTGAGCTGGGGCAAGGGCAGAGGGAGGGATAGAATCCTCAAGCAAATTCCCCACTGAGCAGGGAGCCTGGCTCCATTCCAGGATGCAGAGTTCAAGACCTGAGCCAAAGTCAGCTGCTTAACCAACTGAGCCACCCAGGTGCCCCAAGTTAACTTTTTATATAGTGTGAGGTAGGGGTCTAACTTTATTCTTTTGCATGTGGAGATCCTATTGTCTAAGCAGTATTTTTTTTTTTAAAGACTGTTCTTCCCCCATTGAATTGCTAGTAAATAAAAATGCAATAGATTTTTATATATTGACCTTATATCCTGCAAACTTGCTTCACCAATTTATTAGCTCTAATAGTTTTTGTGTTTCTCAAAGTTTCTATATGCAAGACCATGTCATAGACTCATAGAAATAGTTTTAATTCTTCCTTTTCAATCCAGATGCCTTTCTTTCTTTTTCTTACCCAATTGCCTTGGCTGGAACCTTGGGTACAATGTTGAATAGAAGTAGTAAGAGTGGACATCTTGGCGGCTTATACCACATATTAGGGGGAAGCTTTTAGTCTTTTAGTCACCACTAAATAGTATGTTAGCTGTGGGTTTTATGTGATTCCTTTACAGGAATTGCAGAAATTCCTTTTTACTCCAAGTTGTTGAATGTTTTTATATGAAAAGGTGTTAGATTTTTTCAAATGCTTTTTCTTTGTCTATTGAGATGATCATATGGTTTCCTCCTTTGCTATATTATATTGATTGATTTCATTAAACCAATCTCTCATTCCTAGATAAATCCTATTTGATCATGGTATTTAATCCATTTTATATGTGGCTGGATTCACTTTACTAGTATTTTGTTGAAGATTTTTGTGACATAAGGTTGTCTTTAGTTTTCTGATGATATCTTTGTCTGGTTTTGGGATCAGGGAAATACTGGCCTCATAGAATGAGCTGGGAAGTCCATCCTCTATTTTTTTTGGAAGAGTTCGTGAAGGATTAGCATTAATTCTTTTTTAAACATTTGGTAGGGGAGCATCTGGCTGGCTTAGTCAATAGAGCATGTGACTCTTGCTCTCAGGTCATGAGTTCAAGCCCCACGTTGGGGGTAGAGTTTACTTTAAAACTAAATAAATAGGGGTGCCTGGGTGGCTTAGTTAGTTAAGCATATGCCTTTGGCTCAGGTCATGATCTCAGGGTCCTGGGATAGAGCCTTGCATCTGGATTCCTGCTTGGCAGAGAGCCTCCTTCTCCTTCTGCCACACCCCACCCCCCCTACCCCCACCTTCACTCTTTCTCACTCCTTCTCAAATAAATTTAAAATCTTAAAAAAAAAACCTTCTTATTTAAAAAATAATAAATAAATACATAAAACTATTTAAAAATATATATTTTTTAAGATTTTATTTATTTATTTGACAGATCACAAGCAGGCAGAGAGAGAGGAAGGGAAGCAGGCTCCCCTCTGAGCAGAGAGCCCAATATGGGGGTCCATCCCAAGAC